AAAAAACAAAAAAAAAAAAAAAACAAACCCCAAAAAACCCCCCCAAAAAACCACCCCCCCCCAAAAAAAAACACCACATTTTTTTAAAAAGCCAGGCAGTGGTGGCACATGCCTTTAATCTCAACATTTGGGAGACAGAGGCAGGCGGATCTCTTAAGTTCAAGGCTAGCTTGGTCTACAGAGCAAGTTTCAGGATAGCCAGGGCTATATAGAGAAAAAAAATTAAAGTTACAGGATGCAGAGCAATAGTCCAGGGTGGAGAAGAAACTCTGGGCCCATGAAAGATGAATTTGTGACCATAGCAGTATGTTGGAGAGCTTTAGAGAGACGGGCTGTCCTATTGTTTGTTGAAGGGTGAGGATGACCTCCTGCAGGACACTCCTGAAGGTTCTGAGGAAAGGCATGCACATGTGCTGTGTGTCTCAGAAGTTTTGAGAGGAGCAGGCAACTGCTGTGGACTAGCCCTGAGGAAGACAGGTCTTAGGGAAGGCCGGGAGAGGCTCTGTATCATCTTCAGGGTCACTATAGCCTAGGGAAGAGGTCATGGCCATGGAGAATGGGCCCAAGTGGGAGGCAGGAAGGCAGGAAGGCAGGTGAACCCTGTGGCTACTATGGATCAGTTCATATGAATCCTCCTAGGTGGGCCTTTTCCTTGAACTCAGGACTGTCTCATATGTGTGTCATGCTGTGCAGAATAGGAGTTTGGCAAATCCATCTGGATTGCATCCCTAAGATGTTTTTCTGCTGTGCAATTAAGAAGCAGAGCGTTTAAATCCATGTAAGAGAGTTGCCACTTTGGGAAGTACAGGTAAGGGGGAAAGGATAGGTGGGAACACTCGACCTTCTTGTTGTAGGGCCATTCTTCTGGGCTTCTGTCTTCTAGCTGGCTGAGGAGCTGCTCAGGTTCCTGGGACACAGTAAAGGTTAGCAGATCGGAGGAGAACAGTTGTGCAGGCAGCCGGTGGTTACTTGTGGGTGACAGTGATTTTGGTGTTCCCTCTGAATCCTCTTCTGCATACCTGTATGTGTGCAGTTGGCAGCACACTGTGTTTTTTTTTTTTTAACTTTTAAAAGATTTATTTATTTGTATTCTTTTTTTCAGATTTTTTTATTTGAATTAGAAACAAGTTTGTTTTACATGACAATCCCAGTTCCCTTCTTCTGCCCGTCCTCCTCCTCTACCACCCCCCAACTAAAACCCTATCTATCATATATCCTTTCTGCTCCCCCTGGATGGTGAGGCCTTCCATAGGGTGTCATCAGAGTCTATCGTGTCCTTTGGGATAGGGCCTGGGCCCACCCCCATGTGCCTTGGCTCAGGGAGTATTCCTCTATGTGGAATGGGCTCCCAAAGTCCACACCTATGCTAGGGATAAGTACTGAACTACAACAGGAGGTCCTGTAGATTTCTGAGGTTTCCTCAATGAAATCCATGTTCCTGGGATCTGGATCAGTCCCATGCTGGTATCCCAGCTATCAGTCTGGGGAGCAAGCACACTGTGTTCTTAGTGATTTTCTTGCACAACTGTAACATATGTTTTCTCTATTGTATTGAGACATCTTCCTGAGGCTCATTCCTGCCTCCTGCATGTGATATTCTGTGAGATAATTGTCACATAATTCATGAACTCATTCTGCTGGTATTGAATTTTTTTTTAATCCCCCCCTTGTATATTTTTAAGTAAGTCCTGTACCTTTAAAACAGCCACTATCATATTCTGTCCAAGAATGTTAAATTTGGCTTAAAATTAAGAAACATTATTCTATCACCTTGGATCACACATTTTCAGCTGAGTATGTATTTTAGTTTAAATAAATATTTTGAGCGTAGGAAAAAAAAACAAAACAACAAAGATGCATTCTCCCCACGCATCTCTGCTATTTCAATTTAGAAACAATTTTGACCAGGCACTTTGTGCTGATACCTTAGGGTAATTGAATGTTGGTTGGCTGCACGGGAAGAATGACGATGACTGTTCTGCACGATGAAGAATATCTCACAGTGGATTCTCGCTCAGGAGGTTTAATCTCAGGTTGATTTGATTCTGTATGTCATCTTCTCATAAATTACTCTTGAAAGCAAACATGGCAGGGGACTGGAACAAACAATGCATTTTCCTATGAGCATTAAGAATATTTATTTCTGTGTTTCCCATGTAAGTCAGAACTTCAGAAGTACAGCTTGCCCTTATCATTGCTTTCTGGAGAGGATGTTTTTGAACATGGTTGAAGTAGGTGATGCTGCCTGGCTGTACCCAGTGTGGCTGGCATAGGAAGCACATCCCTGCCACAAGACAGGACACTAGCTGGGTTCCAAGCATGGATTCCTCTCTAGTTTGCATTGCCACAGAAGTCGGGCTTTGAGGGACAGTGGGAGGATGAAGTGCTGCTTCAGGCTTCTCATTTAGTCAGTTTTAGCAACATGCTTTCATGTTGGC